GCGTCCCTGCATAAGTCCCAGGTTTCAAACAGCTAACTCATGCAATGAGCCCAGGACCTGGTACCACTGCCTAGATGCCTCCCAAACAGATCAAGCCAATTGACTGTCTCACATATTCAGAGGGCCTAATCCAGTTGGGGGCCCCTCAGCCTTTGGTTCATAGTTCATGTGTTTAATAAAATAATCTTAATGGTCTCCTAGAATCCACAAATATTGCCAAGTGTTTACAAAGATGTTATAACAGGACATTTCATTAAAAAATATGGTGAAGTTAATATTTTCCATTCATTTCTGCTCTTTCTAGCTTTTTCTTCTCAGTTAACAGAATCTCTGTCAAATCAAATGCTCTAAAGAAAGACTTCAAAACATCCTTGATCCTTCTGCTCTCCATCCGAACACTCAACCTACCAGTAAGGAATCTACCACTAATCTCATGAGTTCATTCTCGGTGTAGACCACATTGCCCAGGCCAAAGGTTTTCACTGGATATTTGGAGACATCTCTTTAGATATGGTGAGTTATATTTGAATGGGGGAAAAATGAATAAAAAAGGAAAGTAACATAACTGCTCCTAGGTATGATGGAGGAGAAAGTTTATTATAGACATGTAGGAGAGCATAGTCAGAGGCAGAGACATCTGGGAGAGTCTAGAGTGGTCATGTGAGGAGAGGGGTGAGAGGAGAACCAGGTGCAGCAGTCAGGAGGCCCAAAAAGTGGGGTAGCCAAAATGGTTGGATTATATGGGGAGGAACATCTTGGGGGTGGGGAGGACAGCCCAGCCCAATATCTGGGCTGGAGAAGTTTGGGACAGGATGTACGGGTATGCCAGCCAGCAGAACCTTACTTCTGCCATCTGTACTGGGTTTGAAACCTAACAATATTGAATACAATTTTTTTTTTAATAGACAGAGAGTCTTGCTATATTGTTCAGGCTGATCTCAGTTTTCTGGGCTCAAGCAATCCTCTTGTCTTAGCTTTCCAAGTTGCAGGAACAAGAGGTGTATGCTTAGCTTGACTGGATTTTAAATGTTAAATCAACCTTGGTCCTGATGTATTTTAGCATATTGGTGAATTCAGTTTGCTAATATTTGGTTGAAGATTGTCTGTGTTCCAAAAGGATCCTGGCCTGCAACTTTGTTTGCTTGTACTCTGCAGATGCTGAGAATCAGGGACAGGATGTCCTCTAACCTCTGGTAACTTTTGTTCAGTGCTGGCAACACTCAAATTCCTTAAATCTCCTATAGAATTCACCAGTGCAAATAGCCCAGTCTCTTTAATCCCTGGGATAAATTTAGGATAAAACTTCAGTTCCTCACAAAATGGTACTGGTTAATTTGAGGGGGGAACAAAGAGTATTATGCATGTACCAACATGCCTCACTTTGAGGCATACATGCATCATCACGTGTGAATTGTATACAGCCAGCTTGTAAGAAAGGTGCCAAGCATGGTGGCACACATCCCTAATCCCAGCACTCCGGAGAGGGCAACACAGATTTCTGACTTCAAGGATTACGTAGTGACACGGTCTCAAAGAAAGAGGGGCGGGGGGCTCTGCTGGCTTGGGACAGTCCCCTCCACTCTCTTCCAAGACTCTGAGATTGGATGTGTGAGGAGATGGCTAGGGCCAAACTGGAAAAAAATGTTTTTGTTTTTGTTTTTTGACAACTGTGTCCGGTTTAATTACAAATAAGAAAAGGATCACCACGTGGCTACATCTCTTCCTTCTCATGAATCTCCCCAACTCCTAGGTCCTCTTGACCCTTTTTAAGTATGAATAACCATAGTTGGTTAGGTCAAAACCTGACCTTGATTTGGTCAAAAACATCCTTCAAAGATGTTGATTATAATTCAAAGAGATACAAAACTTAGCACTTCTGTAATATTAAAATAAAAACTGTTGATGTAACCAACCATCTTATTAAATAAGAAACACAGAAACAATGTAAAAGAGAAAGCCGAGAGGTCAGAGGTCAGAGCTCAGAGCTAAAATCTCACCCTTCCGCCTGCGGTGTCCCAGCTTCCCGAAAGAGACTATTTCCTGTCTGTTCGTCTATTTATAGTATTTTGTTCTGCCTTCTCATTGGTTGTAAACCCAAACACATGACTGCCTCATCACTGTCTGAATGTACAGCCCCCTAGGTCTTAAAGGCATGTCTCCAATGCTGGCTGTATCCCTGAACACACAGAGATCTATGGGATTAAAGGCGTGTGCCACCACCGCCACACTCTGTCTATGCCTCTAATAGCTCTGACCCCTGGGCAACTTTATTTATTAACATACAATCAAAATCACATTTCAGTACAATTAGAATACCACCACAAAAAACAAAACAAAAACCAACCAAATGACTTGATTTTTTAAAAACCCAAAATACGAATAGCTGCCTGAAGAGGAGATCTTGATTCTTTCACTAAACATATTCTTCTCATATCCACAGGAGGCCATCCACAGGAGGACAAAAGTCAAAATGAATCCATTACTCATTTCCTCTTCTTGTGGCTTTTCTTATTAGACCTTTCAGGAGACTTGGAGTGACTCCTATGTCTGTGACTATGGTGGTGCCCTGGGGATTTAGAGCGGAATCTGTGTCGTCTGTCTCGGGACCTGCTTCGATGGCGTCGTGGACTCTTGCTCCTATGCCTTTCTTGGCGTGGAGAAGGGCTTCTTCTTTTGGGGGATCTACTTCGCCTCCTGGGAGACCGACTCCGACTCCTCCTGGAGCGCAGTGCAGGAGAACGTCGTGACTTGTTCAGGTCTCGGTAGCTTCTTCGTTGATGGTCAGGTGATGGTACTCTTTCCAGCTTCTCACCTTCTTCCTCCTCTTCACTGGATTCCACATCATCCATGTCCTTTTCTAGAGCACTAACTCGAGGCTCCAGTTGTTCAGCTTCCTCCAGCACATAGCGTTTCTGTAGCCGGGGCAAAATGATATCACAGACTCTCTCACTGTGCAGAAGTTCATCAATGAACTCATCTACGTGCATCAGTTCAAACTCCCCATTCCGGTTCTGGCTCTTGATTTTCCGATACTCATTGTACAAAGGCTCCAGGTACTTGTAGCAATCAATTGCAGTTCCTGTGAGCCTCATGTAAAGTGCCCCCAACATCCGGACGTACTTGAAATCTTCATTTTTTATGAACTCAACAATGATATCCTTCTCAGGTTGAATCTGAAGCATCTTCAAGGTTAAACACAGAAAAGGAGTTGGCTTTATGTTTCCACCGTAGACACCACCCACAAACCTTAACTCCATGGCTTTGTCGACTACAAGCTCAGCCGTAAGTCCAAAGCACTCTTCTTTCCAGTACTTTGATTCATAGATCCGCGTGCGAATGATCTTCTCCACCAGATACTGAGGGTTGGTGCCATGGATGCTGTGGGCATCCTTCACCGTACGGTTCGCCATCTTAGAACGCTTTCGATTCTTTTTCCGTGGGCTTCTTCAATACGCCACCTCCAGGTTTTAAGAAAAGACGTCCAGAGGCGGAGGAAACCCTTCTAAGATGCGCAGGCCACCAGCTTGGAACGGGAAATGGCGGCGCCGCACCCTTCCCCGGGACTCAGCAAGACTGGCCTCAGAGATGGCGGAAGCACGTCAGGAGCCGCGGTGGGCGTGGCGAGGCGGTTGAGAACGCCAATCAGAACCAAGCTGTGGGCGGGGTCACGGCTGGCGAAAAGTTTTATCCTCTGACTTCTCGTCCCGCTCGGGCGTGGAAAAAACGTTTATAAGAAATGTGATTTTCGGCCGGGCGGTGGTGGTGCACGCCTTTAATCCCAGCACCTGGGAGGCAGAGCCAGGAGAATCTCTGTGAGTTCAAGGCCAGCTTGGGCTACCAAGTGAGTTCCAGGACAGGCCCCAAAGCTATACAGAGAAACCCTGTCTCGAAAAACCTAAATAAATAAATAAATAAATAAGTAATTAAGTAAATAAATAAATGCACAGAACCAGGTGGTCAGTAACCGATTGCTTTACCCACCTTTAGATATAGGGAAGTCCGCTGAATCTTTTTTTTCCCCGAGATAGGGTTTCTCTGTAATATTTTTCTGTAATATTAAAATAAAAACAAAACAAGCCCAGGAAGCTTTTCTCAGAGCAGACTCGGGACTTGTAATGGTGAGGCACTGAATCCTGCAATCTGAAAGTATTAATATTGACTATTAATCTGTCATGATTTTTTCTTAAATCTACTTTTAAAAACCTTGAAAGCTAGAGATCAATTTCATATTACCATTCATACATTTCCCAAAATATAGAATTATATCTCACGGCCTGTAGCGTTGATCTAACTATTCTTTATCAATAAAAACTCAGGAGTCTGCTATCGGGGTATTGATCAGAGCAGCAATGGAGACATGACCAGTGACCTCCTCTGTCTCTCTCCTTCCTCAATCCAAAAGGGCCAGGAATCTTTCTAAGCTCCTCCCTACTGCTTCTGTCTATACGTCCTTGGTCCTCCAACACCTCTATGGTTAATTTGGGTCAGCTAGCAGCTGGCTCTGCCCGCTGATTCAAAGAAAACTATATCGTCAGTCTCAGGAGTGTCAGAGTGTGACCAAAATATCCCCCAACAATGGCCATTAACATACATCTTTAAATTTATTTTCGTTATTTCTATGAATCTTGCAAAACCCTTTCCCCCTAATCCAATGAGGATGTTTATGCTACTTATCTGGCCACTATTGAATTCCACGCCTACACAGTCAGAATGAAAACTTGTGAAGGTGTGGTTTCTGTGACGATTTAAGGTCCCAGTTCCAACGCTTTCCAGTTGGTGTCACTATGGCTAAGGTGACATCCACACAGCTGACATAAGACACGAGAGGAAGAAGGATGCAAATCTGAAAATGTGGCTGAACCGGGCGGGGGGGGGACACGGATCTGGGGAGATGAGGATAAATGTGTGTCTGGGGGTGGGGTGGAAACACCAGAATTCTCTTATGGAATCAGTGGCTGAGAGAGCACATGTACCCGAGGCTGTGAGCGGGCACAACAGACCCGCAGACAAAGGTGGTTGGCATCATTGGCCTTTGCAGTGACGCGGCATATAAATCATCCCGGCCTGTATTGCAGTAGCACCCAGATCCCTGCTTACAGCTCCAGCGCTGGCTTGAGTCTGAGCCCCGCAGAAAGTGGTGGAGACAAGCCTCGGCTGCCTTTCTATCACCAGGGCTGGAGCATCGTCTTTTTCCCTGCATGTCGCTAGGACACGTGACAGGAAGTCTAAAGCAAACCTAGTGTTGTTTATTAAAAAGAGTTATCCCAGCTCAGAGTGTCTGAAAATTCTAGGATAAAAAATGTCTGCCTGGACACGTTATAGCTCCAAAATAAACAGTGCGTCCTTGAACTCCACCAGCTGTTTGGGTATTCACACATGTAGTGTAAATGGCAAGATAAAGACATTTATGTAACTAAACACTGCTCATCCACAAGGACTCCCTGGGTTTTTTTATTTTTTATTTTTATATATTTTTGAAATGGGAAAACATATTTTTCAGATCTTACTCCGTTGTTCAAGAAGGTAAACAGATGTATTCCTTAACACTCCCCACAGAACATATTGAGCTATTCACACGTACAGCGTGCTGGAGCTGAGGTTACACAAAGGCTGTCTGTTATGAAACCTGTCTCCACAGAACCATAATTTCCAGCGAGGATCTCATTTAAGACCATTTGTTGGTGACACACTTTGTGTGAAAGGTGATTTTTCTTATGAACATAGTATAATTCACATGTAAACCTTATTTTAATGAGTAGTTATTCCTCCCTGTCTCCTTCTTAAATTGAGAGGATTTAAATCTGTTTAAAATTCAGTTTTCCCTGTCAAGATGTTGAATACCTCTGGCAAGGAAAGGGCCTGGGTAAAGGTGAAGGGAATTCCAGGCATGGGTGTAAAATGATACTAAAGCCAACACAAAACAGATCGACTTGGAATCTGTGTTCCATTTTAAAACTACGAATTGATGATAATGTTCCTCCTGGGAACAGCATTCATTTGGAATTCTGCCAGAGGAATTCCGGTACGGTCAGCACCACCCTGACATCCAGAGGCTGGAGGAGTCTTTAGTTGAGTCTCAGTGGCCCAAGAGAAGTCTCAGGAGGGGTTTGTGAAGAAGACACCTGGGTCTTGGATACTCTTTAGCAATCCTACATTAGAGTTGTCCTCTTCTGTGGTGGTAATCTAATTGTACTGAAATGTGATTTTGATTGTATGTTAATAAATAAAGTTGCCCGGGGGTCAGAGCTATTAGAGCCATAGACAGAGTGTGGCGGTGGTGGCACACGCCTTTAATCCCATAGATCTCTGTGTGTTCAGGGATACAGCCAGCATTGGAGACATATGCCTTTAAGACCTAGGGGGCTGTACATACAGACAGTGACGAGGCAGTCACGTGTTTGGGTTTACAACCAATGAAAAGGCAGAACAATAATACTATAAAAAAGACGTACAGACAGGAAGTAGCTCTCTTTCGGGAAGCTGGGACAGCAGAAGGAAGGGTGAGATTTTAGCTCTGAGTTCTGACCTCTTGGCTTTCTCTTTTACATTGTTTCTGTGTTTCTTATTTAATAAGACGGTTGGTTACATCAACACTCTTCTGTCCCGTGAGGGAATGGTTCAAGACACAGGCATCAAACTTTGAGGATGGCCAGCACTCATATGCCAAGTATTTGCATATAACATAAACACACACTCCCTAAGTCACCTCTGGATTAATGCCAAATACAATGTAAGCACTATGTAAATGGTTGTTTGGCTGTGCCATTCAGGGGTAATGACAGGAAAATGGTTTGCTTTTGGTCACTACCGATGAAATATTTTGGTTTTGTTTGTTTGTTTGTTGTTGTTGTTTTTAAGATTCTCTTTTAGCTCAGGGTTGGCTTTGAATTCATTCTATAGCAGCAGCTGGCGTTGAACTCCTGACCTTCGTGCCTCTGCCTCCCAAGTGCTGAGAGTACAGGCTTTCACAGCGTGGCTGGCCAGATGTAACTTGTTTTCAAGCCATTTTTATGCACAGTTTGCTGAAGCTGCTGATGTGGAACTCAGAGATATGGAAGGCTGACTGTATTTCAGATTAGTCACTGGAATATTGAAATGAGCTGTAAAGGCTCAAGGGACCATGACTGTTCAGCAAAATAACAATAGCAGGTTCTACCCTAAAGCCTGAGATCTTCCACACCATCAAATTTTGGCCAGAATTATAGTTCCAGATCTGAAATTCCTTCCTTCCATCAAATCCAACAAGAACACAATTACCCCATATGAGTCATACTCCTACTGCACCAGTGGCCAAATCTTGTCAGGCAGATCAGTACTGTAGCATGCTGAACCCTAAAAGGGACATTTTTAATCAGCCCATTGCCCCCACCAAAGTTCAGGGAACATTACAGATAAGGAGGCAGAAAGACAAACAAACAAGAAAACAAAAAACCGTAAGAGCATGCCATGAAGTTCATCATTCTATCTCATTTTGGAGGTACAGTTTCACTGTGGACCCTTGGATGGCCTAGAACTCCTTAGACAGACAAGTCTGACCTCAAGTTCCCAGAAACCCAATGGCTTCTGTCTCTTCATGCTATGACTAAATGCATGCACTGCTGCTGTGGGGTATCATTCTGTTTGCTATGAATATGTGTTGCTATGATTGGTTAATAACGAAGTTGCTCTGGCCTATAGCAAGCCAGGATACAACCAGGCAAGGAATCCAAGAGAGAGACAGAAAGAAGAAAGGCAGAGGCAGAAGAGACACCAGCACCATCAGGAGAAGCAAGATGTGAAAGTACCAGTAAGCCACAAAGCCACACGGCAACTTACAGATTAATAGACATGGGTTAAGTTCTAAGAGTTAGCTAGTGAGAAGCTTGAGCCATGTAAATAATATAAGCCTCTGTGTGTTTACTTGGGACTAACCAACTTCAGGATGCAAATGGGAGAGATTTGTCCTGACTGAGAGATGGGCGGGACACAGGGAAACTTCTGACTACACACTGCCATACCCTTTGACAATTCTGTCTTCCTGATAGGGCATGACTATCATTTTCATGAATTCACACTAGGCGTGGTTACTGGCACTACACTTACACAAAATCAAGCCAGTAAAATTCCGGAATGGATGGGGGAAATGATCTCCATCTGGGCCACACACCTTAGTGAGAAACTATCAGCAGTTGATAGTTGTTGAGGGGAGTGGTGGGGAAATCACTGTTCTTTGAGAGTGCAGCCACTAGTAGGTGGCCTAAGCTTCAGTGAATGGCCCCATAAACATGCACACATGGGCAGCGTTAATTGGACTTAGTGGGGCACTAAAAACAACACCAGTAACAACATACGAAGTTAGGAGGGCAAGGGAGTGTTAAGAGGAAACAAGGGAAGGTTGGAGGAGATAATGGGTGGTATAAAAGACCACATTATGTTGTCGGCATGTATGGAATTCTCAGAGGATAAAAAAATAATGGCACAGGGAGAGTATACAGTTCTACACCTTTGACCAGGACATGATTATAAATGAGTTTTTCTCATTTTTTTGTTTTGTTTGATTGTAAGTGATATCCTGAATTTAAGGAGGAATTTCTGTTATTTATTAAGTGTCGCTGTTTA